TTTGTAATTGATATAAATGGATTTCAGATATTTGCAATTGATATAAATGGATTTCAGATATTTGTAATTGATATAAATGGATTTCAAATATTTGTAATGAATATCAATTGATTTCAGATATTTGTAATATCTATGAGTGGATTTAAGATTTTTTTTATCATAATTTATAATATATTTCATTTAATTTAATTCTATTTCAATTAAAATATATGAAGAATGTTGTTTAAATTTGTATTTGATCTCGGCCGATTTTTTTTATTTCATGATGTCTCTAGTGGATAAAATATTGAATTACATTTTATGATTTATTTATAAAGATCATTCACATAAATATAGTCACGTGTTTTTCTTTTCCTCTTCATGAATATGAGCGGCTTCGAAAAAAATGTTCACGAAGAAACTAAATAAAATATCTAAAATTCAAACAGAATCCGTGATTTCCTTTTTTTAATACATTATTACTCCAAATTGTGCCATTCGTTACCAACTTTTTCCGTAACTTTCATTAACCGGATTATTCATTGTGTTTTGACTATGATCTTGTCATTTCAAATATAAAGTACTCAAAACCTAAAAGATATTTGAAGAAGACTGAAGAAGTCGGAACATGTTTGCAATATAAATATTTGAATAATAATAATGATGATGATGATACATGATGATGATATATTGATAATAATAATAAATAAATAAATAAATAAATAAATAAATAAATAATAATAATAATAATAATTAATAATAATAATAAATAAATAAATAATAAAAAAAATAATAATAATAAATAAATAAATAATAATAATAATAATGATAATAATTATAATTATAATAATAATGATAATAATAATAATAAAAAATAAATAAATAAATAAATAAATAATAATTATAATAATAATAATAATAATAAAAAATAAATAATAATAATGATGATGATAATGATGATGATGATGATGATGATAATGATGATGCTGGTGGTGGTGGTGATGATGATGATGATGATGATGATGATGTTGAAGAAGAAGAAGAAGAAGATGATGATGATGATGATGTTGATGATGATAATGATGATGATGATAATGATGATGATGATGATGATAATGATGATGATGATAATAATAATGATAATAAAAATAATAATAATAATTATAATAATAATAATAATAATAATAATGATAATAATAATAATAATAATAATAATAATAATAATAATAATAATAATGATAATAATAATAATAATAATGATAATGGTAGCCATGAGTGTAATATGATTATTTTTATAGCACTCGATTATGCATTAAAAGAAAAAACACTTGAATAATCTGTTTATAATATACAATTTTCTCTCTTTTTTTTAAACATTACAATTGTCAAGACTTCCCCTTAAAGCAGCACGCCTCCAGATTCACACCAATTTTCATGAAAATTTTGAAAATGTATTTGAATGTGTAATATTGTGAGGTAACCAAAAGGAAACAATTTATGCATTAGCAATGGCACTTACAAACCACGCAATTTACCAAACAGTGGTCAAAATTTGAATAAATAGCCTTTTCTGCGTTAGTAACGCAGTAGAATTATAATTATACTGAAAAATCAGACATTAATCGCACATAATATGGAAAATATTACTTGAATCTTGAAACTTTTTAATTTTCCTTATATCTTAGTACATTAGTCTTAAATTTTATTTTATTAAAATATTTTGACTCATCTGTAGGCATGTAGCTTTAAATTTTGTGTATTGGCTGAATTTAGAAGAAAATAGTCCGGCAAGATATCAGTGTAAATACGGAAAATATGTTTCATCGCAGTGATAAATATTTTATATTAAATGTATAGTGACTATATTAATGAAACTACACATACATTTTATTTAATTTATCAATATTTGTCAATATTTCATTTATAGTTATTTAATAATAATTACATTTGTTTTGGTCTCGTAAATAATTTCATTTCTGTTTGCTTTGAAGCTTCAAAATTCAACTTGTTTTAATTTGCTACGACACGGTTTGATAAATGTTGCACACCTCCGCTTCTTGGTGTCATTGAATACCGTAAATTGGTCAAAATTTATCCGGAACTTTGAGGACTGTTTTGCCTGGTTACGCGGTTTGATGATTCAAGATACATCGTTTACATTACGCCGGTTCAAGCGTAAAATAGAAATAAAAATAGAAATATCTCTAAAGATTTGATAAAAGGCTAAACAATTATGTTCAAAGAAATCGTAAAGGTAAGTGAATCTTGTATACCATGTACCAGGTGTGTTCAAGGAGCAATAACATGACACGTCTACACGGAACACGGCCTCTTCTCTTGCATCGTCATAAAGCAGCCTCAAAACATTGCAATTAGTATGGCGTAAATAAATATAAGGTCACATATTAAAGTATTTCCCATGTAAAAATACTGATGTTCCTTCATTATTAGTACTTTTTTGGTACAACACAACATTTTTGATATCGGTGATTAAACACAAAAATGGATTTTCTTCACATCTAATCTAAAAGCATAAATAATAAAATTGTCATATTTCACTTGTGGCTACAAGGAGTAATATTTAGAAAAAAGATATCAATTCTGAGTGCATTGTTGTAGAATATTGCATGGTTTGAATTCAAATGCGTAGGAATATAATCACAAAATAGTACAATATCATTGAAATAATACCAACAGTACAAAACCGCTGAAATAATACCAATAGTACAATATCATTGAAATAATACCAATAGTACAATATAACTGAAATAATAGCATTAATACAATATATATATATCACTGAAATTATACCAATAGTACAATATCACTGAAAAAACTGATAGTACACTGTCATTGAAATAAAACCAATAGTACAATATCATTGAAATAAGACTAATAGTATAATATAGCTGAAATAATACCAATAATGCAATTTCACTGTAAAAACCCAAGAGTACAATATCACTGAAATAATACCAATAGTGCACTACCAAGGAAATAATACCAAAAGTACATTATCACTGAAATAATACCAATAGTAAAATATCATTGAAATAATATCAATAGTACAATATAACTGAAATAAAACCATTAGTACAATATCACTGAAATAATACCAATAGTACAATATCATTGAAAAAATACCATTAGTATAATAACACAGATATAATGTCAATAGTACAATACCATTGAAATGATACCAATAGTACAATATCACAGAAATAATTCCATTGTACAATATCACTGAAACAATACCAATAGGACAATATCATTGAAAAAAACTAATAGTACACTGTCATTGAAATAAAACCAATAGTACAATATCATTGAAATAATACTAATAGTATGATATCGCTGAAATAATACCAATAATGCAATATCATTGCACAAACCCAATAGTACAAAATCACAGAAATAATTCAATTGTACAATATCACTGAAATAATACCAATAGTACAATATCATCGAAATAATACCAATAGTACAATATCAGTGAAATAATACCATAAGCACAATATCAGTTAAATAATACCAATTTTACAATATCACTAAAATAATACCATTAGTACAATATCACAGAAATAATATCAAAAGTACCACATCACTGTAAAAATTACAATAGTACAATATCACAAACATATACAATATCACAGAAATAATATCGATAGTACAATATCACTAGAATAAAACCAGATGTACAATATCTCTGAAATATTAAATGTAATGAAATAATGCCAAAAGTACAATATCATTAAAATAATACAAATAGTACAATATCGTTGAAAAAATACCATAAGTACAATATCGCCGAAATAATAATAATTTTACAATATCACTAAATAAATACCATAAGTACAATATCACTTCAATAATAGCAATTGAACAACATCATTAAAATAATAATACCAATAGCACAATATCAATGAAAAATACCAATGGTACAATATCGCTGAAATTATACCAATGGTACAATGTGGTTGAAATAATACCAATAGTACAGTGTTACTAAAAACAATAGCACAATAAATTGAAATAATACCAATAGTACAATATCGCTAAAATAATTCCATTTTTACTATATCACTGAAATTGAACCAATAGTAAATATCACTTAAAATACCAATAGTTCAATATCGCCGAAATAATATCAATAGTACAATATCATTAGAATAAAACCAGTAGTTCAATATCGCCGAAATAATATCAATAGTACAATATCACTAGTATTTAAACTAATAGTACAATATCACTGAAATAATACAAAGAGTACAAAAATCACAGAACACAGTAAAAGATTAAATTTTCATACATTTCCAGCACTTGAAACTTCACTGCAGTAATTTTCACGTAAAACTTATAAAATTGCAATTAAAATCTGATTGAAAGTCATGACTTTTTATTTTTTGAAACTTGATTGTCCTGTTGCAAACAAAATATCATAAGATAATCTCAGATCCTTTCCAAATAAAAGTCTAAAATATTTCAAAATTAAAACCAGAACAACAATGACATAGTATTTTAAAAACCAATTTTAAACATTATAAGCGCATCTTTGAAAACTGATTCTTTTCCACTTTAACCAGTCTTTAGTTTGGTTATGTGATAAACAGAATAAAATATTCGTGTAGGTTCATTAATGCCTTTATTAAACTCATTGAATAAAACAATAGTATGCTCGCCAGAGGCTCGCATAATATAATGTTAATAATTTTCAATAAATTCAGTATTGGACTTACACCTATGCGACAGCATTTATATGTACGTACATAAAAAGTGATACAAGTGCAACACCAAACAAAACTCGATAATTATATATATCCCGTTACAATCATCTTATATTTATTTTATTATTGTTTACGAATTATTTTAGATAAAATGATACCAGATTATGTCTTTAAAACATTTCAAAATAAAACATTTTGAAAAAAAAAATGAAAGAAAACAGCACAACGAAATTTTAAGCATTAATTAAAAACATGTTTGAATATATAAAAAGAGATTCAACGACGAGTTATACGTGACATATTTCAAACTTCAAATTTTTCATTAAACTTCTCTATCAAATTTCCAATTTAACAAATAAATCTTATAAATCAGGTCGTGAGTATATCAAATCTAAAATGTGTTAAAATTTAACCTTATTTAATAGGTAATAGAAAGTATGAAAGCTTGTTTTCATAAATGAAACTTTGATATATTATTGTATAATTGTGATAACGTATAAGTTTGTGATATCGAAATAATGATTCTGTTTTTTTTTTCTTATCATAATGTGTATGTTTTACTGAAGAACTGATAAAAATATAGAGTGTTTTAATTGGTGTTGCAGACTTGTAAAATATATAAAAGGAAAAAGGATTTAACAGAATAATGAAGTGCAGGTTAGTTTTTTAAGAGTATATTCATTAAATGTTAGAGACATCTTATTAAAAAAAAGCAAAACGACAACAAATTCTTTAATTACATATTTCGTCAACCTATAACAGCAAGTGTAAAATGCAAACAATTGCCCGATATTTCATTTACCTCATTGCTTGTTATACTTGTCTTGTCCTTGGCTGGATTCAATGATTCCAAAATTTTTAATATTGAGGAAGGAACACCGCTTATCCGGGCGCTAGCGTGCTAGGTGACTTGAGATATGTTTCACTGTCTAATATCTCTTGTAAAAAATGGAAACATTAAAAACTCAAATTTAACAGCAATGATTTGAAAAACAAAATGTTGCACGGATTGATTGAGGCCTGTTCACCAACGGCAGTCCTGAGCTCTAAACAAACGTCCAACGCTCCTTATCACGATCTTAAAGCAAATTTTGGCAGCCCCAATCCTGCATGTTTAACTGCTTGTCCCTTTGGTGTAAATGCAATCGACCGAATTGTTATAAGATATATATTATTTTTCAAATGCATTGTTTTATATTAGAATGTTCATTTGGCTAATATTCTTCACATATATTATGTTAAATTCACATATCTGATCAAATACGAACAAGGTAGAAACAAAAAATCGCATTTTCCATGCCACTGAGCTGTTATCTGTGTGCCGCGTTTTGGCTTATTAATTACATCTCTACCCTTTATTAAAGCAGTAAAACTAGTATGTATGGGATGAGTTACATGTATATAACTGAAATTACATTTGACTTTTTAGGAGTAACCATTCTAAAAGTTCCATTTTAATAATACCTGCATCTGGTATCTTTGACTTGCATTTGGTTCCCCAGGATGTTTTTTACTAGCACATCCTATTATACTTCATTGTAATGAGTTTTGCCACTCACTTACGAATTGAATTTCATTTTTCAACCAAACTCAGCATATAGGGAGTATAGTAATAACTGGTGAACATAAATAATTTAAAATCCATTAAACATCTCTTTATTAAATTTCTAAATTTTCTAACTTCTTTAGAACTCCCTTTTGTTTTTCAATAGAGTATTGCTTATGTAGTTTACCGTGCACACTGCATATGATCAAATACAGAATTTCAGAACTAAAAAAATTGACGAACAAGCAATTATCTTGATTATAGAGTTATTTAAGATTTACAAAATTTAGAGGTGTTTTAACCTGAAATATCGGATTACAATCTTGGAAATGTTTTAAGACTGAAGAATATACATTTCCTTGGAATAAAAATAAATCCTGAGTGATGTTTTGCACACATTGAACATTCCTTGAGGAAAAAAAGACCTTATGTATAACCTTTCTGTAATTTAAGTTGCAGGTTCAACTCAAAGCAAAGAAAAGTTATTCTGATAAGTCTTATTCCTGTTGTTTATACAATATCTACCGTTGTATACCTACCAGATTTTCTGACAAAATGTAGAGATATTACACTTTTCACCGGCACCAGTAGGCAAACCAGAAATAATACGGACCTTCAACCAAATACAAATGAAATTGATAAGGACAAAGGTGGATCGGCAACGTCAGATCACGATGATAGAAGATTTGTAGATCTATCAGTGTTCACCTTACCTGCAAAAAGTCGATCAACAAGGAAATATGTTATATCGTGGATCAACAAGCCATACTGGCTTAATATACCAAGCGTAAACAGCTTTTTACGTTATCGATGTGTGAACCAAAACTGTAAGATGACGACGTACCAGAATCACACCGGACAGTCAGATGCACTCGTATTTAACTCTAAAGAAGAGCTACCTAGTAATATATCTTCTGTTTTTAAATATCGTCCTTCTGATCAAGTATGGGTATTTTTTCAGATGGAACCCCCATCACGTATCTCAACATTTTGGTTCAGGGATGAAATGTTCAGAAATTCATTCAATTGGTCTTGGAGTTACCGCCTAAATGCTGACATATTCAGGCCTATAAGAACATTACAAAGGCGTATTGGTAATTCAAATTTAGATTACAATGCCATCTACAGGAGGAAAACCAAAATGGCGGCTTGGGTTGTAAGTCATTGCAATACGCAAAGTCTTCGGGAAGAATATGTTTCTAGTCTAATAAAATCAGGCATCGATGTAGATATTTTTGGGGGATGCTCCCATGACAGGAAGCGAGAAAATGCAAGTTACATAATGAAAACAATAAGTCAGGAATATAAATTTTACTTAGCTTTTGAAAACAGTTTCTGTGAAGACTACATAACAGAAAAGTTCTTTACTTATTACGGTTTAGATGTCATTCTTATTGTAAGGGGCGGGTTTAAATATGCAAATTTCTTTGACAAGTCAACTTTTATAGACACATCAGACTTTGGATCTGTGAAGGAATTAGCCGAGTTTTTGATCAATGTCAGCAGTAGGGAAGAAGCGTATACATCATACTTAAACAATAAAGACAAATACATCCCGGGCTACACACAGTGGGATACCATTCAGCATTCTAGTTGTCAACTGTGTTCAAAACTTAACAATATCAATAGATATCTTAACATATATAATGACATCAGTATATCCGTTGCTAATGATACATGTTATGAGCCAACTGACAATTATTAAACTTTTCTAACATTTCTTTCTAGTTTTGTTTGCTTTTATTCAATTTTTGCTAAATAAAATATCAATCAATTCCCTTTAATATATATAAACTGACAAAGAAGTAAGGTGCAGTAAAGAGGTGGAGAAATAAATAGCATGTTTTAGGTTTATAAGTCATTTTCTAGACCTAAATAATTACAATTATTCAAAATTTATTTCTTTTACCTGAACATAACAAAGAAGTTGGGCGCAGACAAAGCAAAGAGCTTGTTTCTGTTATATATTTAATTGCATTTCATTTTCTGGACCTTAATAATTACAATAATACAAAATTTATTTTCTTTTACCTGAACATTACAAAAACGATTGGGTGAAAGACAAAGCAGGAAGAACATGTTTATTTTTTTTCTGGTTTAATAATGTTTAAAAAATTGGCCATTTTTTTTTTTCATTTTCTGGACATTTTTAAAAAAAAAAAAAATTTAAATTACAATTAATACAGAATTTGATTACATTGTTACCTGAACATAAATTATTTGGGCGCATACAAAGCAAAGAAACATATTTTTTATATATATTTCATTGTATTTTATGTTCTAGACCCGAATAAATACAATGATACAAATTTATTTCTTTTACCTTACGATAACAAAGCAGAAAAGTGCAGGGAAAACGGACATATTTTGTTAAATATTTCATTGTATTTCGTTTTCGTGACCTGAATAACATTTACCTTCAACAATGATATTTTTTTTTGCTATACATAAATAATACAATAAATGTAAATTTATTCCTTTTTTCTTTTTGATAACAAAATATTGAGGTGCAGGAGAACCAACAAACATGTTTTTGTTAGAAATATCATTGTTTGCCATTTTCTAGACCAGAATAATTACCAATTATTCCATAGTCCTTCAACTTACTAAGTAGTAAGTAGTATGGTTCAAGAAATGAAACGAAAATGGTTTTATTCTGTTAGATATTTCGTTGTTTATATTTGTTGACATAAATACACATAATACTATTTATTCGTTTAAATCAAAGTTACACTTACCGTTTTAACAAACATGTTAGCAATGACGTTTATTTTGAACTCTATACGTTTGCGGATATTCCTTGTATGTCTTTTTAAACCAATAAGACATTTATTTACTTTACAAATACGTACAGACGATCTTGTGTGCACCAGGTCCGTTGTTTCAATAATATCCACATAAATAGACATTGCACCTCGACAGCGGAGTATGGTTGATTATAAACCTTTATCTTTAAATGATTTAGAGATATCCCAAGTATCTTAAGAAACGTATTATCATTATAATCATTATTATTATTACTATTATCATCATTATTATTATAATTATGATTATTATTGTTATTATCATTATTAAATAATAATAATGATAATAATAATAATAATAATAATAATAATAATAAGAAGAAGAATAAAAATAATTATCATAATTATAAAAATGACGAAAATAAAGAAAACAACAACAACAACAATGGTAATGACAATAAATATCAATTTTAAACATTAGAACGAGTTGATATGTCAAATACGGGAATATTTTTCAATCAGTACATAAAGGTTAAAGCGGAAATGAAACTTGTTTTCTAAATTCTCTTCTGATTATTGATTATCTTTGTACATATTCATATATTTCTAATAATACTTTCCACCTTTCAAAATTGTAAAGTTATCTTCTCGAAAATATTACTACTTTTTTACTCCTATGATCAACTAAGTGTATTTCAAAGTAAGAGTATTTCTGTATGTGCACTTTACTTTCATTGGATATTCTGCCAAAACGTCATATGCCTTTATCTATTTAAAACACAATTTGAGGTTCTGTTCTGTAACTGTCCTGTTGGAAAAACCTTGACCGTATTTTGGTGAGTACAAAGGAGAAAACATCTACATATATATAATTATATAATAATGATAATTCAATACATTTCTTACCTGTTAGTAGGCTTTAGAAATACATGTCTCTTTTTGCCGTTTCTAATTTGGTTGATGCATTAAGTGTAAGGCTAGTATGCAATATGACATACCTTAGAACTGTGTAAATATTCATGTTGGCATCGGTTGACATATTATATATGTAATGAAAATCAGGGTGGGATATCACGTGAAATTTTGTTACGGTAAAAATTGGATTACCGGTAATGTTTTTGCCAATTTTAGTTATATCTTTCAATATTTGAGTAATTATTAAACACTTAATATACCATTTCTTTTTTCCCTTAATGTAAATAAATGTCTTAATGTGTATCTTAATTTCTTTATTTTTCATTTCTACCATTTTTGTATTGAATTTTTAAAATTACAAGAATACCTTATATTGTTTATATATGAATGTAATCAATTATTGTTTCAGTCCAAGGAGAGAGTTTCTAAAAAAATCTTCTAGTTTTCTACTCACTCCTTTTTGCATCTGCATCTGATTGTAATTAAATTGCGTATAAACATGTAGACTACATATATTTGATCGAAATACAATATTGTTTAAACTAAACAAACACCATGTTCCAGGTACTAAGTATTTGCTGATTCCAATGGTATATAACTCTTCATTGCAACTCCTTTACTTTTCCCGTTTTGCACGCAGATTTTTTTTTATCCGACAATATTTTTTAAGAAAATATGTTTCACGATTTTCGCATGCATATCGAAAAATTACAAGAGCTACATAAGAAAAATATGTACCTTTGGACTCAGAAAATATTTGCCTGGAACATGGTGTATGTTTGTTATCAAAAATTGAAATATGATATAAATACAGATTCAATAATAACAAGCATCATTAGCGGTGACCCAATTTTACCGTTAATAAATGTCACGTGATCACCCATCCTAAATATAGTTTGCATTCATTGATTATGATTAATTTCAATTGGAATCCCTGATCCTTTTAATCCTTTGCCCATATATGTATGACGTGTTTGTATAGTTTGTACTTTACGTCAGTGTTGTTTCTACACTTTTAAGTGTTGAGGATTGAGTACCGCTCAAGCCGGTGCTGGGGGGGGGGGGCGTGAGAGATGTTGCACTTTTTCATTTTCATTATCCCTCATGTACATATTAAATCAAACCGATTCTGTTTCCTTTTGTTCAGAAATTTGTATTTCACACAGTTAATTAAAGTTTAAAGGATTTCAGGGTATTACAATACGAAAATTAAACTGCCAACAGTATAAAGCCTGGGAAAACAACATAGAAAGATAAGCTGGTCTGACATTATACTGATATCAAAGGGTAAGTAGTTTTGGTTTAACTTCTTTGTAAAATATCCATGTACGTACTGGTTGAAATTTTATTGATATAATGCGAAAACTTGAATGTGAGGGTATTTGACAGGGTGTATTTTGTATTGTTCTGATACAGCTTGAACCAAAAGTGATTATTCTTTGCCACAAGTAATGAGCCAGGTCGGATTGTGTATTCGTGTAGTAGACCAGACGTGCGGCGGCGTATCCGAATATGTAACACATCGGGCTAGTCATTTAAGGATTAATAGTTAAGTGGGTCCAAAGCCTGACAAAGGCAAGCACTTGTTTTTTTGATATTAAAAAAAACAACAACAACATTACACTCATTATTCGTTAAAGGTTGGTTCCAGTGATAGATTCGAGAGAAAAGTATAACAACTAAAATAATGTCTATGCAAACTAATCAAAGATGCAAAAAAGGAGAGATTTTATTTATTTGATCACAAGAAAAACATTAGTTTTAATGACGTAATATGATGTAATATAGTAAAAAATCACACACTGTATCCCCACCTGTACATATTATATTGATTGCCTATTAACAAACATTATTTACATAAGTACCCATTCAGAAAATAGATCAAAGTCATGAGAAAGAACGCCTATGTCTTTCTTATATTTTTAATCGTCCTGTCATTAAACCATAGATTAAATTTTTTAAATCGATCTACTTTTCGGTCATGACCTTTAATCCAGTTATTGTGCACAACAACAACTTCCGCTTTCTGTTTCTTGGTGAGGAATTGGAAATACAACTTTCCAGAAGGAAACAAATTTTTATCTAGTCCTTTGATGCGTAGCTTTGATTTCTTGAGTCTATCATTTAAAAATGGTTGGTCAGAATACGCATAAGTTTCTAACCCTCTAGTTAATTTTCTAAAGAAATCGATCGTCTCATTATTACTTTTGACCGCCATTGTTCCCGGGCACAATATTTCAGGTGTATCATACTGCATCCAAATGTCATAATCTCCTGTAAAATATGGTACTGGATTTTTCAACCATACAGTATCTGTGTCAGAAAATATAACATCTCTTCCGGTAAGAAGATAATTTAAAACATACGTGTGACGCCTTAACGTCAGGTCCATAAATGCTCTACTCTGAAATACAACAGTACTATTTATTTCACTATTATTGCTTTCTTTTACAGTGATCATACTGAATTTAAAACTTTTAATCTTGTCATAAACGGCTTTGTCCTCAGCGACCAGCACTATTGGAACTAAAACATTGCTTTTCTTGTACGAAGCAAACCAATTCAGAAAGAAATCCAAGTAACCATCGTTCAGTGCCATTATAATAACCCAATTAGTTTTATATTGAACATCTAGCGATTTCTCTAGAACAGACACTGCTGCTACCTCAGTGATATTACTTTTAGTTGCAAACAATAACTGTCTGTTATCTATCAAATTATGACGTGTCATTCTCGAAACATTCACTATTAATCCCAATGATAAAGCTAAAACAAGAAAAGCGCCGGCTCGCAACAGAACTGTTCTTATTTGACATCTCATCTTAAATATTTCCATAAAAAATCGTAAACTAGAGATTATTCCATGATTCTTGCATCTTCATCCATTCTGAAAGATTTTATCATACTCTTTCCTTCCTTTCACGGTTGGAAAAGTGTATGACATGTATGATTTTGTTTCCGATTTAACGGTGTGTTGTGAAATGCTATTTAGTGGTTTACATTATGTTAATTTTATTTACAACAACACGGTAGAAAAAAAATCACA